ACAATCCTTATCTAGTTTTTAAACTAATGGGCACAAAATCTTCAAAATTAAAAAAATGTGTATTATGAGGTGATGAAACTTACCCTTGGAGCTTTAGAGACCATAATAGACCATACTTTAAGTAAAGCTATATTCGTCTCCCGAAGTATCTCATGAAGGGTCCTTAACCCTTGTTGGGCCGACACAATGCTTTCCATGGCCGTCTGGTCCGACCCGGTATGGATCACGACCTTGTTTTTCTTTTCGTACATCCTCTCATATCGGGCCCACAACATCTTAGCTACGGCCCACAACAAGAAACTCGATATAGCTGGCCCCACCCACTCTCTACATTTATTCCAAAAATAATGTTTTCTATAAGTCACTCGTACTTCAAGAATTAAACCAATGTCGCGAATTTATTCAAAACAAATAAAAGAAGACAAATTCTATTCTTACTTATAGATGACCACCATAGCCGAAACAATGACAATAGACGTGGCCAGGGGCCGTTCCCACGTGAAAATCCCTAGCAACTTGGGGACTTCGCTCTTAACCGGTTCAAGTAGCCCCTGCAAGAGGGATGATTTTGTAAAAAATTGCACGGACTAAATTGACCTTATATTTAATAGATTTTTAATGGCAAAATTGTAATCATATTAAATATACCAAAAATGAAAAGGACTCTAACTAAAAAAAAAAATAATCACCAAATAAGTAGCAAGAGAATCATTCAAATAGAATATAATAAAACAAAATNAAAAAAAAAAAAAGCTCACCATAAGCACTTGGGCACTCTCACTAATGCCCTCATCCTTAAGGCCCTCGGCGCTAGCTCTAGCAACTTCCATCTCCTTCCCCTCCTCACAAGCCTGATTTATCGCGCTCTCCAAAGACGACATATCTTTGTCGTTATCATCATCACCAACAACAATTTCCCGAGGCTCGACTGGCCGGGAGACATTGAGATTCCTGAGGATTGAGCTGGCGCTGCATGGGTGGGCCCCACCAACACCGGACCTCGCGAGGCTTCCGGCGAGCTCCTCGAGCACGTAATCCCCCTTGGGAAGGTCGTCGAGAAGGGTGAATATGAGGAAGCTCTTGGAGAGAGGCGGCGAGATGCGGAGCATCTCGCGGGCCGCGTGGAGGCGCACGATGCCGAGTATTGTCCTCGAGTGCATCTCCCACGCGTGAAAGGTGGGGTCCACCTTGTACTTTGAGAGGAACTTGTGGAGGAGAATGATTTCGCGGACGAGGGCCAGCCAGTGGTCTCGCCTGGTCGAGCTCGTAACCTCCGGGAACTCTAGGATAATGCCTTCTTGCCTTAAATGATTAGAGAGCAAATGATATTGTTTGGTGGGAATGAGTTTATATATATATATATATATATATATATATATAGCCAAGTTTGGCAATTACGGTATGAATTATGTTCCGTGTTCATTAGGTGTTTTATAGTTAGAATAATCGAGTTGTCATGTCAATGTAAAATGTGAGGCGAAAGGTCGGGGTACTTGTTATATTTGGAAGTAGTTGGGGATTTATATGTAATTTTGTAGTACATAGATTGGAAACAAGTGAACAAACAAACACAAAAAATCTAAGATTGGAAAGCAACTTTCACAAACAGTAAGGAACTTGATTGAACCTATCGGCTTTGATAAATGCAATTAAAAAAAAAACATAAGGAAATGAAAGAGGATAAGCTTAACAAAGGAATATTGATGCTGCTAGTTAGTAATTACACTCACAATTCAGAAGATTCGTAAATGATAGCTTTGTCGAATAGAGGTGCGCCCCAAGGACCTGTCGCTGTGGGTTTCACGCTCTGTTCGGAGTCCTTTGAGAGGTCGAGCTTTACTGCGTCTTCATATGAAATGATGCCGGATGCCTCAAAGTAAAGGGCGTAATTGGTCAGCGTCAATCTGCCTACAAGTCAACAAATTAATTATTAAATCTATACAATTTACAAGATCCCTTAACACACATCACCTCGAACAATAATAATGCGACCATATACCAGGCCAACTAGTTCCTCCAATATGGCGAACCACTCTTTGTGAATTCACAGTCCCCTCAACGTGTAGTATAAATTCATCGTCCAAGAACTCTACTCCCTTTGGAGTTTCTTGCTTCTGTAAATGCTTTATGCATCTAACGCAAAACCAAAAGCGGTGTAACCATCATTAAATACAATATTCTATCACTAGGAGTGGAAAATGATGGTCTTAATAAAGGAAAAAGGGCCCTATCATATTATACCCGTGAATTTCTTTCAAGAATTTGTCGTAAGCCGGAAAGTGGAGTCGATTTCCAGTCGGCGCAGTCAATGTCTCGAACGTGAATCTACCATTGACCATTTCAACTACCAACGGAACAAGTGTTCCTAACCACACAAATGCATCTTCCCCTACATTCGGCTCTCGGTCGACCTACCAAAGAAAATTATAAACCTTCTCTATTTAGACACATCGCACAATTATATATAATTAAGGTCCTCGACTCAAGTTAATAATTTTGCTCTCTCTCTCTCTCTCTCTCTCTCTCTCTCTCTCTCTCTAAATGCTTCTATAACAATATAAGACAGACCCACTTACGAGGAGCGGCATGAGATCAGAATAGAAAAGCGAAACATCGTCATTTAGCTCGTCGGCCACAACAGGAACCTTCTTCTCCTCGTTCTCTTTTGCCACACACTCCTACGAGAAAATTATGAATGAAATTAATTATATTTGACGAATTTACGAAACAAATGCAAGTAATTTAACCTTTCATTTTTTATTGGAAAGTTAAGGTAGACTATCTCCACTACACCACTAATCCACATTGTTAAAAACACTGACGGAATGATTTCAAACACTGACAGAATGATTTCGTAACGGGACTGTAATCAATCATTCCCCATTTTTTATTATTATTATTATTTCTTTTTTTTTTTTTCTGGAACAAACATGTAAGAAGAAAAAATTGAAGGAAGAAAAGTTAAGCCCTCACCGTACGAGATTCTTCGTCTGCTGAGGTGGGCACCTCCCAAGCAAGCATCATATCGAATGTCAAGCGGCTAAAGGAGCCATTAGTTATATTTTCATCTATAGCAACACACATCACCATAAGCGCTCTCGAGCAGCAAAATTCTACGAATTTTTTCGAGTAGCCTGCCATCTGAGGCTCCCATTCCTTCTCGAACTCTTCAACCAGCGACCAAACAGAAGTATTGAGCTTCCTATATAAATTCGAATGAACTTCTAATCAAAATTAATTCAATGCCATGAAATTTAATCATGGAATCAAGAGAACCAAGAAAACAACAAATAATATGCATTTCTTATTGCATAAATTTCAGGTTCTTGTCTTTTAAATGAAACATAATCCTTCTCAATCTCATTTGATCCATGAATAGAATGTTCTGTTCCTAACAACCAATTTCAAGAAATAAGACGAAATAACGGATAACAAAATAAAAATAAAAATAAACAAAATAAAAAAAGAAAAGAAGGAGATTTTGATTATATACTGGGCGCATCTTCGAACGACGTCGTTGGCGATGGTTGAGAGGTGCTTAATCTCCATATTGTTTGCAGTTGCATAATCAGCCATTTTTAATGGAAACTTGTGTGTTCATACATACAACACAAATCTGCGTATAATTTTGTGTATTGGATTGGTTTCTGGGTTGAAATAGAATATATGGGCACGCACGATCCTATCTATCCTACAAATTACGGGCAATGTGTTTGTGCTCCTCGCGTGACACGTGGTGGCCATGCAACTCTGGAGCTGCCTTACACAAAATGGCGCGACTACCCTATTTTAGTACTTTCTTTTCCTTATTATATACGTTGTTTTTCTGTCTATTAGATAATTTATTTATTTTTTAACTTAGGTTCCCTTCCTACCCCCACTAAATATATATTTTTTTATCCAATCGATTCAGTAGCTTCACAAGCCATGTATCAGAAATTTTAGTACATCATACTTTGTAACTTGTACATGGCTTGTGCTATTCACGAGGAAACAACATAATTCATCCATTCTTTTCACTACAGGCCAGATCTCGGACAGTCTAACAAGATGGATTGAGAATCAGTTTATCGACCGTTCGCTTGAACTCCAAAGTTAGTAAAAAATAATCTCTCGCTCAAGCACACATTTTAATCACTGGAATATACATGGCAAAGTGCTTGCACAATCCAAGATAACAAGTAATATAAGCAGTTACAGTTGTAACCTTTCAGACGTTATTCCTACAACCAGTTACATTTTTTATATTGTAGCAAAATTGTAGAAGAAACAATAGGACTTAAAAAATTTGTTCATTTTCATATCAAAGAAAATTGTCTCGTGTATTGTTATTTTAGTAATTTTCCTTTTCTTTTTCAATTAAAGTGGCTCGCTTAGGTGACTTTTAACGGCACATCAGCTTTGTTGAAAGAGATTGCTAAATTTGTTAGTTCTAGTATTGAATTGATAATTTAATACATAACAAGCCTCATATTGAAAAATTTATCTTTCAAGTGATAAAACTCCGAAAAAAAAATGTATAGTTAGCTTTATTCATTATAGAATGATGATTTATGTTAGGACCATGGTTTAGAAAATTGGACCGGTTCGGTTCGCTGGAATGAACTAGTTGCTAGTGAATCGGTAAAAACCTGGTCAACGATCGGTTGAACCGATCAAAACTGATCAGAACCACCTGTCCATTTTTAAAAAAAAAAATGATTTTTAATATACTTAAAAATATTTTTAATATAAAAAAATACATACTTAAATATAATATATATTATATATATAAATTATTAGTAATTAGTTTAAATATTTGAATATTTTAAATTGACTTAATATTCAATTAACAAAATTTTATATATAAAATATATTATATAAAAATATTATATATATTTAAAATATTAATAAATTAAATATCATTTCAATCACTTCTCGAAATAGTGAATCATTGAACAAGTAATTTCACCGCTGACAGGTCCGTTTTCATAACTTATTAGCACCATGAAAGGCTTTCATTCTTGAATCTTGAGTGGCAATACTGTAAATCCATAATCATCTCTATCTCGGGGCGAGCTCCGTCAAACCTCGCCGCTCACGTAACGCACCGTCTGCAGAAAAGTTCTCCATGATCACCATAGTTCAATCGCCGTTCACCATGGAGAACTCAAATGCTTCTTCTTCTTCAATTGTTCGCCTTAACATCGGTAACCCCTGCCCTGCTTTCTTTCTCTATGTGTGTGTGTGTGTGCGCGCGCCCGCCAATATCTACGGGAGGTGTTAAATTTCTGCATCGATTCTGTTTGAGGAATGGAACTCCCAATAGTAATAAATTGAAATCCAGTTCATTTTTCTTCAAAGAATGTTAGAAAATTCAAGATCGTAGTTACAGGCTTTTTGTATGTAAGCCATTGAGCTTATCGTTTTTCAGCTAAGGGTCCCATTATGTATATGTATTAGCCAGATACACAAACTAGTTGTTCAATATTTGGTGGACTTCGAAACGGGCTTTGGTACTGAGTTTGAAATTGTTGTTAAATAGTTTACTTCTGTAACTATCAGCCTCAAAATAGAGTTTGAGCAAATGCTCCATGTGTCCTTTTGTTGACTCAGAATATGGGTTCTTGAAAGGAGTAGCATCTTGTTTTGTACGATTGTATGTTAAAACTTTAAACTTGTACAAGGCTCCGTAGCATAATTAGTCAGCAACCATAATAAGGATGTGTAACTAAACCTTGGTGTCGAACTTTTTTTCTTCCCTACTCAAAGTGCTGGTTATATATTTTTTACTGTGATCTCTATCAAGGTGGGAAGAAGTTCTGCACTACTATCGATACCTTGACTCAACGTGATCCTGAGTCGATGCTTGCGGCAATGTTCAGTGGTCGCCACACAATCTGTCAAGATTCTGAGAAGGTATATACACTGACGGATATACAATTCTAGAATAGTTGAATTATATTTTAGGAAGACCAAAAGGTACAAAGTACAAAAAAATATTCATTCTCTTATTCTTGGGCCTGAGGGACATACAATTCGAAAGTTTTATGACACTTTATGGTCTCGATTTGATAATTCTATAAGGAACTGCGAGATCTATTATAGTTCCACATTTGCTATTTCAAAGTTATTTGGTACTATAAAACAAATGTATGTATATGCATTGTGACTATTGACTCAGTGGAATCATTTAGTCCTACTATGGATTTAATTCGTGATGTTATTTAGTCATGAAACAGTAGTTGAGGACATTTCAGGCATAAAAATCTGTTCATATTTGATTGACTTTGTTGCATCAACAATGTTAGTGCATGAATTCTGTTCCAATTTTGTTCTGTCTCTTCAATTAACTACTACTTTCAATTGGTAAAGTAGTATATCATTTGTGAGAGAATTCTATAGACATGAATTAGCTTTGATGTAATATTCTACTTTTGAGTCTTGAAATCTTTAGAGTCTGAGAGGTGGTGAACTATAATATTGCAGGGTTATGTGTTTGTTGATAGGGACGGAAAACATTTTCGGCACATTTTGAACTGGCTGAGGGATGGTGTGGTCCCCTCTCTGAAGGATTCTGAGTATTCAGAGCTTTTGCGAGAGGCTGAATATTACCAACTAATTGTGAGCAATTTGTACTCTCTTTCTCTCGGAGTCATTTGTTCTTTAGAACTTGCATTACCTTGAGTAAATGGTTTTTCTTGCTTATAAGCCTCTGTAGACCTTGCATGTGGTGTAAATGAAACACACTGACTTTTTGGCAACCCCTTTTGTACCAAGAGTAGTTGCCCTTTTGTTATGGAGTTCGCTTTGAGGATTAATACACCCTTGAGCGTGTTGTTTGGGTAACTGTAGTTTAATACTTCTTTGGTGGAATAAATTTATCGATAGAGATTTGGAATTGTGGTGTGTCTGAAATTCGAATTGCACAAATGGTTTGTTTGATGTTTCCTACCCTGAACACCCTGGCTTCTCAGTGTTGCACAATGTCTATAGATATGCTATGTTTGGCTATGTGTTTCACAGATTGACTTTTATGTTACCCTTGTTCCTTGGAAAAGGAAGGGGCATGAGGACACGCTTGTACTTTATTTGCCCAAGTGTTCTTGTTCTTTATTGTATGTAAATGACTCTATTCTATTATCCAAATAAACTCAAATGTTTGTTCCCAGGGGTTGATGGATGAAATCAAAGCATCTTTGGTTAAGAGAAAGGAGGATGAGGAGATGGGTACGGAGTTGACAAGAATTGATATCATTAGATGCATACAGTCAGAGAGGGTCAGATTTCGAGGAATCAATCTCTCCGGACTCGATCTCTCTAAACTGGTGTTGTATTCTGTTTCTCACCGAATAGCTCTCTTAAATTATTCAGCTAAAATGACGTCTTTATAGTAGCCTCTAATCACTTTCATCATTGCTTGGACATTGTGTTAAAATTCATTCAAATGTATCTTGGAAGTTGTATAGAGAATTTAAATGTAGATGTAGTGGACAAGTATATTGTATGTTATTATTTTATTTTATTACGTTAAAGAACAGGGTAACTTTTAGGAATTTCTCTAATAGACCTCCAATCTGGTTTCTAACTGTAAGGAGCTTCTTTATTGTATTATCTAACAACTATTGTTATTTTCATATTTTTCCCTTTCTTTTTGCAAAAAAGGATTTAAAAACAAACTACAATTATATTTTCACCTGTTTTTCTATTGTCAAAGCGTTTTTGTATCCAACTAATGCAGGATCTGTCATATGTGGACTTCAGTTATGCCTGTTTAAAAAATGTGTTCTTTTCACGTGCCAATCTTCAATGTGCAAAGTTCAGGGTGAGTGTACTGATATATGAAGGATAGAATGCCCTTTGTTTCTTTGTTCTTTTTCTTTTCTTTTTTCCTTTATAATGAAGTTGAATGTATCTAATCATAACATAGGAACATTTTATTTTATGTCACAGGATGTGGATGCTGAAGCTTCCATATTTCACAATGCAACTTTGCGAGAGTAAGGCAGCCTTTTTATGCAGTTCTTATTCTTCTATATTGGTTCTTCACCTTAGTTTTTTAGATTCTTTTGGATCAAGTGGTGATGGAAACAGAAAGTGCTGTTCCTTAAACTGTCATCTCTATTTGTTTCAACTGTTATTCGCTCTTCTTTGTCATCTCTAATGAATTTATTTTGGCCTGGGGAAGATGTGAGTTCACTGGCGCTAATCTTCGTGGAGCTCTTCTAGCTGGGGCTAATCTCCAAAGTGCAAATCTACAAGGTAACTAGTGCTTGGTTGTAATTGGATTTTACAAAATTTCTACTATTTTATTTTGCCAAATATGCGATTGCACGTCATATTTTCGGAAAAATACCCCACTCATTCTCATTGTTTCGAGGATTATGATCAGTTATTTTGCATATTATTTAAAAATTTTAAAAGAGCTAGAAGATGATGAAGCCTTGATTTTATCCTACACAGAATATATTCAGTTGAAGGAGAGGAAGCACTTTTATCAAAAAACTGAAAATCATTATTATCACTGAACAAAATTAGGGTTCTAGATATGGATGGCACCTAATATATCCAAAACCTAAAGCAAACAAAATATCTGGGGTGCATGTGTAATGTACACCTATGCTGTTGTGGGTAAAAAACTGTTGTGGGTAAGTCTTTCATTAAAACTTGCAAACCCTGTTAATCAATGTTATGCTTTTATCTCAATACTATATAAGCTAACATCAGAAATTCTAATTGTGATCTATTTTCTTGCCTTCATTTGTCGAATCCCAGTGAAATTAGATAAAGTAATTGTTGGATGTGGTTCCTGCCTTTTGATGTCCTTTTAATATTGTGTTCACGGCATTTACATCATTTCCGTTCTCTAGCAAGTCTTGAAGTTGATAAATTAATTATTGTGAACGTTGTTTTCTTCAATCCCAGATGCTTGTTTGGTGAACTGTAGCTTCTGTGGTGCGGACCTGCGTTCAGCTCACCTCCAGGTCTTTGAACACCGAAATTACTGGAAATTTTGTCTCATTTGACCTGTTGCTTTTACTAAAAGATTGCTTTAAACCATTTTCAGACTGCTGATCTAACCAATGCCAACTTGGAAGGAGCGAATCTTGAAGGGGCCAATCTGAAGGTAAAAGTTTTTTTGCGTGCTTCTGCTTTGGTTATAAAATAATAAAATGTGGTATTTCTATGTTTCATTTATTGTATATAGGGCAAAAAAACTGAGTTTGTTATCTATGTGTTATCTGATTCTTTTTTCATTGCACTGTCATTCCAATTTTCTGTTCATTATTTCTGAGTAATGGGGTCATTATTAACATGTATCTTGGCCCAGGATATAAATTATGGGGTCTCAAATCTGGTAAAAAGTTCAGTCACTTGGTTAATTTGAATTTATGAATGCACAGTGAAGCACAATATCTCATTTCTTTTTTCCAGTCAAATTGTTGTGCCGGTTTTCTGGTCCAATCGAATACATCCACATTTTTTTTTCTCTCTTTTTTTTTCTGCATATATAATGCATAAAATCATCTCCCCAACTCACGTATGTTCTTTCTCCAGGGAGCAAAGCTTGCTAATGCAAATCTGAAAGGTGCAAATCTCCAGAGGGCTTATCTGCGGCATGTAAATCTTCGTGAGACGGTGAGTAATCTTAGAATCTGAGAGAAAAAGGGAAAAAATAATGTGGCTTATTATTTCATCTTAGGATTTATAGGATTGACCATCAAGTAGCTGCTTTTTTTTTTTCTTTTTTTTATCGGTATCATGTAGCTGCTTTTAATTACCCAATTACTGGCCGAACTGCTATGGGGGATAAAATTACATATACTGGATTTTTCTGCATCTTATGTTCCTTTTGCTTGCATGTATCTCCTCTAGTTAGGAATCAAAAGTACACTCGTTCAAATTTTCCACATACTTTTTTTGCTTTACTGCTTTGCTTTTGTTCAATATTAGTGTTTGGTTTACAGATTTTGTGTGAAGCCTTCTCATCTTCTTGATTGTCTTTCTTTTCTTTTTCTCTCCACAGGATTTGGAAGGCGCTAATCTTCATGGTGCTAATTTATTAGGAGCCATCAGGTGAGGAATGAGGTTTTCACTATTGGAGTGGTCATTAACATATTTGTGTAAACACCTTTAATTTTAACATCCATTTTCAAACCGATGCATTTCTCTCAACTTATGAGACGTTGAATGTGCATAATAAATGCGCGGTATCCTCTACTGATTATCTTTAATTTAAGGTGTGTCTTATGTGGGAGCATTGTATATTTAATTTTCAAGTGTGACTTTTGTGTAAATATTGTGGCGCTTGCCGAGATATTTATTTTTCTGTAAGAGTGGTCTTCTCCAAGCCAAAAGCATGACCACGTTAACAGTACCGCTGTAGCCCCCGTGCCCTTCCCACTGCATGAAATGAACTCCCTGATGTGGCGTTGATGTGTAACTCCAAGTCACTAATTTTTCCTTAATTATTGGGGCAAGAAAAAAAAAAAAACAGAATTTTATTTAAATTGTGTTAATTAAAAACCAACTCTTATTAAAAGGTTTCCTATGGCCGTAAACCACATCTACCTGCGCACAGATTTCTACTATCTTCCTCCCAACTCTTATTAAAAGGGTGTCCAACCGCATGAAGTTTACTGTGCTATCAGGTATGCTGATTATTTTATTACAATCTTTTTGTCCAGTTTATTTTTTATTTTATTATTTGAGTTACAACTTTAGGATTTGCAATACATAAAAATTCTACATATTGGAAACACGGGGATTACGGATGGAGAACGGGGAAGAAGACATATATTCCTAGGGCAAGAAAATTTGGGGAAGAAGGTATATATCACAGAATCTAGTCGAAAAAAAAAAAGCGACAAAAAAATCAGGGAAGAATGAGGATTACGAACGGAGAAGGAAATTCGGGGAAGAACGGAGAAGAACGGGCAGATGAAAAAATTGGGGAAGGAGCATTTTTTACGGAGAAGAACGGGGATTATTAGGCTTTAATAAAAATCTGTTTTTTCCTTGTACGAATAATAAGGAAAATAAGACTGACATGTCAAACGCCACATCAGGGAGTATTTGAGGCGGTGGGAAACAAACGGGAGAAGGAGCATTTTTGCCACGTTAATATCTTGTATGCCAATTAGGGAAATATATCTAGCCTTGGAAATTGAAGGCAATCCTGTATTGGGACGAGAAAAGTCCCACATAAATGTGACAGCTAAATGAGACTTTCAAATTCGAACATCATGGAAGAAATGGACTCGATTGGATTTCCATTTGGACGAAGAGATGGAAAAATTTATGTCTGGCAAACAATAGATCATGGTAACTCGGGTCTTTAATGGTGGTGACTGGCGAGTTGATCCATTCACTCTATGCACTAAAATTCAAACTGAAAAGAAAAAAAAGTTGTATATGAGATTAGATAAAGTAATGTTCGACTTGAAAATAAGGGATGAGCTTATGCAAGCTTGTTATTATTTTTGCAAGGGCTGAAAATTATCCAGACTTCAAATTCCTGGTCAATTTAGGAGTTTTTCAATTCTCAATTTACAACAACTCGTTTTTTCAAGCATGCATAGAATCAAAAACCCTAAAAAAATGAGTTTTTTTTAATCAAGATTAATTATTCAAAAATTATACGGTGAGTTTTTGAGAGATTTTGAGTTTATATTAAAATAATATTTAATATGAAATAATTAAAGTTATGTAAAACAGTAAAAGTAGGAGATAAATGATGTTGAGTGATAATGAATTAAAACTATGTGAGAAAATGAATAGTTAATTAAAATTAATGTAATTTGTAAAATGATTGATAATATTGAGAATAATGAGTTTGAGTTAAAATTGTTAGTGGTATTACTCCACCTTGGCGAATATATCACTTCCTTAGGAGAACACAATAGCGAGCAACTCTGCGAGTCACACCAAGCAGGCCAGGGGTACCATGCAACTCTAGCATGCAGAAACAATCAACAAATCCAAACAATGCTTGAATTTGTCAGAAGTAACAGTCTTAGTCAACATATCAGCAGCATTCTCTTCAGTATGAACTTTCTCCAACTGAATATCACCAGAAGCAATCCATTCTCTAATCTTGTGGAACCTCACATCAATATGCTTCGTCCTAGCATGATATATTTGATTCTTAGCCAAATGAATAGCACTCTGACTGTCACAATATAATAGAACTCCACCTTGCTGAATACGCAACTCTCTAACCAATCCAGCAAGCAACACTGCTTCCTTTGCCGCTTCAGCCAAAGCAATATCCTCAGCTTCAGTTGTAGATAGAGCAACTATAGGCTGAGTATTGGACCTCCAACAAATAGGCCCTCCACCAAAAGTGAAGACATACCCAGTGGTAGATCTCCTATTATCCAAGTCCCCAGCATAATCATAATCCACATATCTACAACCAAAGGATTCAACCGCTGATCTCCAAACACAATACCATGTCCCGCAGTACCTTTCAAATATCTGAAAATCCATTTGACTGCCTCCCAATGCTGTTTACCCGGCCTAGACATATACTTGCAAACTTGACAAACAGCATGAGCTAAATCAGGACCAGTACATACCATGGCATACATCAGACATCCAACAGCACTGGCATAAGGTATCTCCACCATATCCTGAGTCTCCTTGTCCGACTTGGGGCACTGATCAACAGAAAGCTTGAAGTGGTTTGCTAATGGAGTGCCCACCGGTTTTGCTTCATTCATCCCAAACCTCTGTAGCACCTTCTCCACATAACCCTTCTGAGATAACCACAGCTTCTTTGATCCTCTATCCCTGTGAATCTCCATCTCAAGAATCTTCTTCGCAGCCCCCAAATCCTTCATTTCAAATTCCTGACTCAAAAGCCTTTTCAGATCAACGATATCACGCATATGCTTAGCAGCAATAAGCATGTCATCAACATAAAGTAACAGAAAAATAATAGAACCATCACCAAGGCTCTTAGTGTAAACACAACAATTAAACTCACAACGCTTGTAGCCAATCTTCATCATATACGAATCAAACCGTATATTCCACTGTCGCGATGCTTGCTTCAAGCCATACAAGAATTTCTTCAACCTGCAAAATAAATGCTTCTTTCCTGGTTGAACGAAACCCTCTGGCTGCTGCATGTAAATAGGCTCCTGGAAAGTATAAGGATCTACACTATTTTCACAAGAAACAGCCTCCTGGAAAGTATAAGGATCTACACTAGTGATCGTAAGAGCAAATGCCACCATATCCTCATAACCAAACCTGACCGGAGCTTGTATATTGGTACGCCTCACTCTATCCCGAGCTAACTTGTAGCTCTCTGACACATCAGTTGTGCCAGAAACATCATGATAAACATCATCAGGTGCAGAAGTCGAACTCTCTCCCTTATCAAGAACTGCTGGAACATGTTCCAACTCCACCTGTACCTTTTCTGCATCTGATCCCAACATAGACTGTTCATCAAACACTGCATCTCTACTAATCACCGTCTTCTTCTCAACTGGATCCCAAAACTTGTATCCCTTCACACCTTTCTTATAGCCCAGAAAAATGCACTTTTTTGATTTAGCATCAAGTTTTGACCTCTCATCAACAGGAACATGAACATAAGCAGGACAACCAAAAATCTTCAGATGATCAAAACTAACATCATTGCCTATCCATACTTCTTCTGCAACTTTGCCATCCAGAGATGCACGTGGTGATCTGTTAATTAAATAACAATCCATACTTCAGCCTCAGCCCAGAAACTCTTTGACAATCCCGCATTCAGTCTTAAACAGCTCGCCCTCTCAGCCAGTGTCCGATTCATCCTCTCAGAAACACCATTCTGCTGTGGTGTTTTACGCACTGTAAAATGCCTTTGAATCCCATGCTCCTCACAAAACTTCTGGAACTGTGAATCGGTGTATTCTGTACCATTATCAGACCTTAAGTACTTGATCTTCCTACCAGTCTGGTTCTCCACCTCAGCCTTCCATAGCTTCAATTTAACAAAAACTTCAGATTTTTGCTTCATGAAATACACCCAAACCTTCTTCGAAAAATCATCAATAAAGGTCACATAGTACACAGAACCACCCATCGATGTCACTCTAGCAGGACCCCACACATCTGAATGTACATAATCCAGAATTCCTTTTGTCTTCTTCTTCCCAGTCTTGAAACTGACTTTTGTCTGTATTCCCAGAACACAAAACTTGCAGAAATTGAGTTTGCAAGTTTTAACACCATGCAGAAGCCCCCTCTTATGCAGTTCAGTCATGCCATGTTCACTAAGATGTCCAACTCGCATGTGCCATAGTTTCGTGCTATCTTCACACGACTCCACCTACAACTGTACTTCCCAACAGTTTGTAAATGTTCCCTGCAGTGATCCTCCCATTCATCACAGTCAAACAGTTCCATCATGCATCCTGATTTTGACATCCCCAATACCGACAATACCTCAGCATCTATCATCACCAAGAAAAACAGAACCCGAGTTACCTGGTTTATAAGTAGCAAACCACTCTCTGTTAGGCGTTATATGATATGAACATCCAGAATCGAGAATCCAAGCATCATCATACTGCGCAGTCGAAATGGATAACATATCTCCATCACTGCAATCGAATTCCTCATTTTGTACCACATTCGCAGACTTAGGTGACATCTCAACAGTCTGTTTCTTCCAGTTTGGGCAATCCCGTTTGAAGTGCCCTTTTTCCTTGCACTTATAACACGTCACAGTTTTCTTCCCCTGCGATTTGTCTCGCGACTTGGATCTGAAATTCCGATTTCCTGAATTATCCCGCACTTGTCTTCTTCCACGATCCTGGTTACCCTTCACATATAAGTTGTCACTTTGAGTAGATGACTCTCCAGATTTCTGTTTCCGCTGGTTGTGAGCCAACAACGCTGAAGTAATCTCCTCAGTCTTGATCGTTTCTTTCCCATATGTAAGGGTAGTCACCATATGTTCGTAAGAAAGAGGTAACGAACACAGTAAAATCATCGCCTTGTCTTCATCTTCAATCTTGACTTCGAGTGAAGCCAAATCCGTGACAACCTGATTGAAGATATTTACATGTTGCCCTAACTCGGTCCCCTCCTGCATCTTCAGCCCGTATAACCTCTGCTTCAGATACAGTTTTGACGTTAGGGTTTTCGACATAAACTGCGATTCCAGTTTCTTCCAGATCTCATCCGCCGATTTGAGATGCATAACGTGATACATAACTTCATCTGCAAGGCACAGCCGAATCGTCCCGGCCGCCCGTTCTTGCAGATCTTGCCAATCATCGTCTTCCATCCCCTTTGGCTTCTCTGTGCGCAACCCTTTTTGAAATTCCTTGCTGCGCCAATAAATCTTTTACTCTCGTCTACCATAATCTGAAATTGTCATGACCATCAAATTTTGAAACCTCGAATTTCGATCCTCCCGTCATTTTCGTCGCCCAATCAACCTGTCTCTGATGCCAATTGTTGTGAAACGATGACAATTTGAATTAAAGACGAGAAATTAAACAACAAAAGATTTACGTGGTTCGGCAATGTGCCTACGTCCACGACGGAGGAGTGATCTTTTTATTATTCAAGATAATCCAAATACATCAATACACCATATATTTATATTATAACCCTACAAGGTATAAATTTACTTAAATACCCCGTACCGTACCGCGGGGGCTCTGCCCCCGCACCCCCGGCCCAACTAATCGACCCAGCCCAATAAGGGTTGATGCCTACTCGCTCCGTTACGCTCGCAGGCATCAACCTGCCCATTTCCTTTGTCAGTATATAAGTCATACGAACAACACGTATCATACAATAGTTATGAATAAGTGTGTGGATGGCTCCATAAATCCTAAAAAGTGGTTTGTTACGAGTATCTCCATCTACGAATAAATAAATAAATAAATAAAAATTGCTAACACTTTTTCCATTTTCCGTAATCCTGATTAATTAATTGGAGGGCGAAATGATTCCAACAAAAGCATCTAAAAGGTTTTGTAACGTAAACGTAAAGCATCTTTTGCAACTTCTCCATTAATATGCTAACAAACCCCCCACCAACTTTAGCAAAAGTGATTTATTTAATTTGAAATGGCATTGCTAGGGGTGTTGTGCTCCAATCAAATTACTATTAACGAAACTAATTAGAAATTAATTATTCTTTTATTCACTATTTAAAATTCCACTAACTAAAAATCCTGTGCGAATCGTGCATTTGGATGGTTGCGTGAACTTTCTCTTTCAGTCTTCACAATTATTTTTTCCATTTCTAATTATTTTTGCACTTTTCCAAAATCGAAAATGGATCGAGGTGTGAAACAATCAACCGGTTCACAAACAAAGCTTGATTTGACTTGTAAAATTACGAGCTCAGCTCGTATGAACTGAACAAGTCGAGCTCGAACAACTAATCGAGCTCGTTTATTAAACGAGTCGTTTTGTTTTACGAACTTAATTTTATATTATTTTTTTATGTTTATAATTTATTTATGAATTTTAAATAAAATATTCGAGTCAAACTTGTTTACTAGCAAACATTTTGTATCTACAAATAACTCTTTTAAGATTTTAAATATATTAATGATTGAAACTGTTTTTTCACAATTTTAAACAAGTCGTGTCTTCGACTCATTTATTGAACAAACACACGACTCATTTATTAAACAAACACAACATTAAACAGACAACTGGGCTCGGCTAAACTCAAATAGAACGATATCTCTAATTGTGCACTTGCTTGAATAATTCACAATCTAAAAGAAAAATAAAATAAGTACAAAAGTGCTAACCGAACCGAGTTGCTTATTAAAACAGCACGAGCTCGAGTAGCTCAAGCTACTCATTTAGCTCGAACAATACATCAAACGAATTCCAAAAAACAAAGTATGAATAAACAATTTAATGGGTTAATAATCATATTTGTGCACTTGCTTGAATAACCCACAAACAATCTAAAAGAAAATTACAATAAGGACAAAAGTGTTGAATGTTGATAGAAACAAATTAATGTTATTTTCCTTAGGCACTTTTGTATATACTTTAATTAATATATTATTTACCGACAAATAAATATTTAAATAAAGAAGAAAAACACAATCACGCTGCCACCAACTGGACCCACCTGGCCACACTCGGCACCCCTTGGTTAACCGCAAACACCATATAGTACCCCGGCGGCGCCACCCTCCCATCCGGCGGAGCCGTACACTTTATCCTATATACCCCACCTCCTTCCACCGCCGGCGCCTCCACCGCCAACTTCACCAGCCTCTGCCCCTGCGAAAACGAGTGCGTCGCAAACGGCGCGCTCGCCATGTTCACCTCCACCACACCCACCACCGGCAGCTCCACCGTCACCGCCACTTCAAAAACCTCCCCATACCCCACCTTCTCCGGCATCCCCACCACCGCCGGCCGGAGATTCGCCCGATCACCCGAAAGATACTCCGGCGAGAACGCCTCGATCCTCAACTCCGTCGGATACTCCGTCCCATCAAACTTATAGAAGTAATGCGGGTTGCTCCCGGCGACCAAAACCCTCCCGTCCGGCAACAAATTCGCCGTCGAGTGGTACATTCTCGGCACCGTCCCCGGATTCAGAGTCATGAACCGGAGCCCGACCGGCTGGTCCGGCCGGTACAGAACCGGATACAAACACGGGTCGGAACCCATCTCGAAACCCTGAGTTCCGGCCATTGCCCCATTCACAATCACCAAATCGCCCGTCGGCAAAACCACCATATCCCCCATAATCCGCCCGAACGGCATCTCCTCCATTTCCCAATCTGCGTCTGGTCGAGTCGCCTCGATCCGACCGCAGCTCCCCCTCGCGGGTCGACCCGCCGCCCGCTCCAAATACGCGCCGTAAACCGCGCCGCCGCACACCAAAACCGTGGCTCCCGAGTAATCGCCCGTCAGCGCCAGCATCGCCGAAGATCCCGCGGACGGGTAATTCCTCGGGCCGCCGTTGAGCGCCGGGTAAACCCTCGTCACGACGTTTTTATTATAATCGTACGAGACGGCTCGATCGTTGGCGAACACGAATAGCTCGCCGTTGGGGAGCAAGTGGACGTAAGGGTAGAGGTTGTCCATTTGGTCGTCTTTCGTTTCGGTTAGAAACGGGAATTTCACGGCGGGGGATGTGGGTTTTGGCGGGAAGAATTCGACGGTGTCGGCGGATTTACCGCCGACGATGATGACGGAGCCGTCGGGGAGGATTTGGTTGGTGGCGTACCATCTCCCTTGGTGGAGCTCCGGGACTGGGAGTTCCTCCCAGTCGCAGAGTGAGGTTGGTTCGCAGGGGGAGAAGCGGCGGATCCGGCGGAAGCCGTCGAGGCCGCCGCCGCCGGTCTGGAGGAGGGTGCCGTCGGGGAGGAATTGGCCGGAGGAGCACCACGTGTCGGTGAGGATGGTGAGGGGGCGGAGGGAGTTGGTGGAGAGGTCGAGGAGGACGGAGTGGGCGGTGCAGTCGTGGGGGATGGGGCAACGGTGGGTGGGGAAGGGTTTGCGGGAAGGGCCGATTTGGGTGCGGTCGAGGAGGACGACAGTGTTGAAGCGGGTGACGGCGGTGTGCATAGAGGCGATGCCGGCGTCGGGGACGAGGAGGGCCCAGGAGCCGGGGAGGGTGGCGGCGGCGCGTGAAGAGAAGAGGGTGAGGAGGAGGAGGAGGAGGAGGATGGTGGACATGGCTGGTTGGTGCTTTAATTTGTGATTTTTTTTATTCTTTTTTTTTCGGTGGGTTGAGTGAGTGGAGAGAGACCCACTTAGTGTGGGTTTTGGGAGTGGATAAGATGGTGATGGGTATGAAAATTGGGAAGGAAAAGGACTAAGAAGAATAAATGGGAGAGAGAGAAGAGATGACGAGATAGATGCCAACTTGCTAATAAGAGGTGGGCAGGAGGGATTCGTTGGATTAACGTTAATTTATCTCATAATTAATTAATTAATGGTGAAAGAAGAAGTTGGATTGAATTTTGCTGCCTAGAAAATGGTGTGAGTCATATTTGAAAGGAGATCTGACTTTTCTCACCGACCATGGCACACACAGACTTCTGCCTCTTCCTCGCCGTGGAGGTTCAACAGATCTGACAAGATGATAGCTAACTTGGAATTTCGGTATTTTCTAATTTGTGCAATTTGGTGTTTCCAAGTTTTTAGATATGAGATGTGATTCATTGTTTTTTCCATTTGAAATTTATTTGTTGCCTTCTGTTTTTGTGCATGATGTTGGTAGGCATTGGATACTAGATAGTAGATTATTGTGTTCTTGTATTGTAAGTGTTTTTGTTGGTTTTGTGTTTGTGTTTGTTTTATTCCTTGTTGGTTATATTTGTTTTAGGTTTTTGTGTTATTTAATTTTTTTTTTGGTTTGTTAGATTATATTTTCACCACGTACGTTATAACGAATCCAACAAGAGTAATGACGGATTTACGCGTATCTTAGAGGGGCCATGGTCCCCAAATTTTTTTTTTTTTACTTAAATATATATGTAATATATTAGATTAAGTATATTTAATTATTATTGTCCCCCCTAACTATTTAACTAAAAATATATTGACTTTGATTAGGTGGATTAGGATCAAGGCCCATTAGAGATATATTAAAAGAACCCATAAAACCCAACTTCCATCTTTTATTTATTATATATAATTATATTATATTATTATTATTTTTATTAATAAAACTAATCAAATTATTTGAGTTAACTTTAAAAATAGCCCCACCTTTCATGTCCTCAATTCAAGAGCCATAGTAGAGAACGTATTCGCACAGGCAAGCTAAAAAAAAAAATCGCAGTAACAATCATTCGTCAACAATTGCTTGATTCTTCTGAGTATTTGATCACCCTCTTATATTTGTGAGTACTTTAATTTATACTCATGTTCATAATTTAATTTATTTATCCTTATTAGAGATTTAGGGTTTAGAACTAGCACTCAATGTGTGTATTTATTCATCGTTCTTAAATGTCTTAATTCATCCTTTCTAGCATGGACAGTTTGATAAAAAAAATTGTTAAAGAGATGTATCGTTTGCTCAAGAACACATAGATCATATATAGACTTTTATTATTTTTTAATTCATGAATGAGTTTCGTGAGTGTAAAGAATGTTGAGCATTTAAACTAGCAAAATTAATAAGTTATGTATTTTGTAGTGCAAGTTATTAATTAAATATTTTATCCATTTTAAAAAGCAGTTTACGCCTCTATATATATATATATGTATATGTGTGTGAGAGAGATATTAAAAATTATATGGTTCCCCTTGAAATATTATTCGTGCCGAGTCAAGTTGAATACCTCATGTGTAAGCTTGTGATAGTTTAATAAATGAGTCAAATCAGCTCGACTATTTAATAAATAAATAAAAATATGAGCTCAAACTCGACTTGTGTAAACTTCAATCTACTCAATTTGTTTAATAAGAAAGTTGAATAGTCGTTCTAGTTTAGCTCATTTAAATATATGAATTATATGAAATCAAATTTTCACTAGTTAAACAAACACAATCCGATTTGGCNACGATGAACAAACCCTAAAACACACTCAATCCTACAAGAGGAGCAAGAACGATGAAAAAAACCCTAAAACACACTCAATCCTACAAGAGGAACGAACCTCTAGACAGAAAAAAAAAATCCTACAAGAGGTTAAGTTAGAAATCCTAGTGTATCCAGTATAGATTTGTTCAGACCTTTTAAGACTTTTAAAAATCCTGGGTATTCAATTGAGATTTTAAAATATCTTACAAAATCCGAATGTATTTAATTTATTTGACACTAGGTTTTGTTAAGATTTTTTAAAATTTAGTGGGATTTCTAAACACAAAACCTTATACGAAATCCTACTTCAAATCCCACTTTCAACTTAAGATTTCATGGAATTTCTCCAAAATTTGGAAATCATAACAAATATCAAGTCTTAAAAAGTCTCAAAATGTCACTTGAAATCCTAATTGAATACACCCTCCTTAAAGTCAACAATGTTCAAGTTTGAATTTGTTCATTTGTGGTTTTAGCCAAGTGTATTAACTATTATGTCATTCTAATTTATTTGTTCATTGATTATAACTATTAGATTACAATTAAATCAAGAGGAATTTACACTCCATACTAAACATTATTCTTTATATTACAGATATACATTCAATATATATTTATTTACAAACCTACCACATATACCATAATTATTTGTACATATACCAGAGTTTAGTTAATTATTTGTACAAATTATGGAGTATTATAATTAATAATTTTCTCCTTAATTATTGGAACAAACCTCTCGATATCCAATTTCACGTTTTCCAACAACTCGCTCGTCTCCTTCACCTTCGAGATCCGCCAAACCGCGCGGAACCCTAACAAGAAGATGAGGCTCGCGTCAACTGCGCAAATGCCTCTGCCATGGCCACGGCGTCGGTTTCCCACGGAAGGAAGGGTTTTTGCCGCCTCTGGAGGTGAGCGAATTGACGGAAAGTGCAGAAGGTGGGTTTGGAGAGGGTATGCCGTTATTACTTTGTCTATCCACAAATCGATGGCGATGTTGCAATTTGACGATGTTGCTGATGTTTGTTCATCTTGTCGGGAACCCATTTGATGAATTGCCTCACAGAGAGATTTGAAGGCTTTTGAGGTAGCGAAAGAACTGTACTTTGTTCCTAAAAATCCAAGATTTATTACACTGGGTAGAAGATTAAAACACGAGATTATTGAAGTGTGTGAAAATGTTGAAGCCGGATCTCATCTAGTGCTGCTGAAGAATTTAATCCTACACATCACAGTGTTGAATATTCGAACAGTTAGGATTTATGAGTTGTTAGAATTGTACGGTTAGAAGAATTAATCTCGACCGACTTCCCTTTTGGAGTGCAATTTTTAGCATTTGAATTGATACTCAAAACCGTTGGCTGGTTTTCTTCTTAAATTGAAAGATGTCATTTTGGCCTGGCAGGTTTTATATTTTTTTTTTTCATTGATTTGTTGGTATATGTATGGATTGATTTTGATTTATAGAACTGGTTCCTTGTAGGTATATGTACAGTATATCTACAGTATATGTACAACATATCTACNTTTTTTATTACAACATTATATACTAACATCAACGCAACATAGACAGCAGCGTGAATTACAATACATGTTTTTTTGTCTCTCTCTATTAAAAACGTACAATGCGCGCAAATTAAGAAATTAAAGAAGTTATTATAAGCATATTTTTATTTCTCTCTCCTAATCAATCCCATAAGAAGAGGATGGAGGTTGAAAGGATATGATAAATGATTTAGATATCTATATATATATAATTGCTAGCTAATCCCATTTAATAAAACATTTAATAAAAATATTTTCACTTTCCCTCCAAAAGAAGTTACATTTTTTTAATTAATTACTCATTAATCTCACATTTAAGAAGGTTTTTTATAGTTAAATTTAATTAGTTAATGACTAAATTAAAAAGATTTATTTTAATTAATCCCACATTTATGTTAAGTACAGTATTATCTTAATTTCTTATTAGTTTTTCAAAAAAAATAGTAACTTATTTCAATAAATTTTATAAAAATTAGTCAAATGTGCTTATATTCATATAAATCAGGAAAAAAAAACTAAATCTTAGATATATAAAAAGAACATCGTTGAAATAACTTGAATCCGCAAGGGTAAGTCTATACTCATTATCAATTACTTTAAATTTTTTGTTTATATAAAAAATTAATATTATATTTACTCATTTATATTTGGATGGTATTTTTTTTATTAAGACGCAAGGACAATCTCTATCAATCAATAAGAGTCAAGGACAAACAATATAAAGAAGTGTTTCCTATGCTATGACATATCAATAAGAGTCAAAGACAATCTCTGTCGCACGTCGGCTTACTACTGAAGAGCTCTGCATTTAGTCATGAGCAATTATACGTGGCGCTTTTTAGAGTTACGAGTCCGTGGGGTTTGAAGATTTTGATTTGAGCTGAGGGAGATTTTGACGATAGAAAAACCACGACGTTGTTTTATAAAGAAGTGTTTAGGAATATTTATATTTTTTTTTCTTAATTTTTTTCAATGAATTTGTTATGATTTTTACTATTGTTTATAATTTTTATTATTTTTTCATGTATCATATAGTTTTCCGTGCAAATACACGGGACAAAAACTAGTTAATATAAATAAATAAGATGTTTTAAATAAAAACATAATTATTTATATGGTAGAATTGTAAATAAGTTAAAATCACATAGCACACCTTAAAATTTCCCTTAAATCAAAGTCTGTTAATTAATTGTTAGGCTATGTTAGTGGGTCACAGGCTCACAGCAGCCCGAACCCCATTTCATCCCCTATTCCGACTGCGAAGCCCTAATTCACATTTAACTATTTAAGGGGGAAAAAGTAGCGTCAGCCGACAAGTAAACAATGGCAGGTATCATTCACAAGATCGTAGAGAGGCTCCGCATTGACGGCCACAAGGAAGGCGATAAACACGATGAGCACCAGGCGGATCGCGACCACGGCCTGCTCTGGGAGGGGCTCGTCGAATAGATCGAGGACAAGTCCACGGCGATGGCGGCGAGTATAGCAAAGACGGTGGAGAAGAAGAATAAAATGGACGGCCACGATTAAACTCCTCCTTTTCTGGAAAGAGGTGATTTTGATGTTTGATTTGTTTCTTGATTTGAAGGTGAGTTTTAGTGCGTTTCTTTAGTGTTACCTACTAAATGGGTGAATAGAAAGCTAATGATTTGGATCTGTTGTGGCGGTGTTGCTATAAAATGTGGTGGGGTTGTTATTTGAGCCGAGCGGAGCACTTTCGTCTTCAACCTCTGCTCGTTTAAGCTATTGAAAACTCGGGTCGACTCGCTTGACTAACCCAAAATCTAAATGAGTTGTTCTTGGACAACATGTTTGTGTTTGCTAACGTGCTGTTTTATCTAAAACTTACAAAAAAAATGTAAAGAAGAGTTGTTCGTGGACGAGCTCAATTAGTTGTGTGAGCTCGGCTTGTTTAAGTAAAAGAACAAGCCGACATCGAGCTTTCAATTTAAGCGAATGTGAAACAAGTTGGGCTATGATTACAAAGAGAGAGGCTTGAGTGGAGATATTTGACCCATTTTCAAAGGCCAAAAGAAAAAGGATTGAGATGTGTATGAGTTGGAAGTGATTTCAACATTTCATAGTTTGGATAATATTTGCCGCCCCCTTCACTCCAGAAGGGCTGGCTATGGCATCCTCTGACCTCAAAATGTTTTTATCACTTCCAGTTGTCATCTCTTCTTTTCACCTTTGTTATGGGTACTTTTCCCACTATGAATAACCTTTCCTAAATTTACACTTGATATGAGCCCCATTTTTTCTATATTTTTTTAATTTTATTAGTTTAAAGTGATATTTAAATTAGTTGAATTTTAGTACTTCCAAAAAATCTATAACAGGATGATTGGATATAAAAAATTTTGGTCTTGCTTTGATTTTTTTGTTTTGTTTGGTTTGGTTAATTTTGAAAAAGTTGATATGGTTAGTTATTAGTGGGTTATTAGAATAATATTTAAAATAAAATGATTAAAGTTGATTTGATGTAAAGTAGGAGAGAGAAGATTTGAAGTGATGGTTAGTTAAAATTATGTGAGTGGATGAATAGTGAATTAAGGTAAGGTGGTGTGTAAGAATGATTGATTGATATTATTTAATTATATTGATAATATTGATGATAGTGGAGTTGAGATAAAGTTGAGTTAAAAAAAGTGGTTGAGTTAAAAATGTTTGGATTTTTTTGAGAAATTTTGTATGGGCTACATTCTGATGCAACTAATAACGACCAAAATCTGTCGCAAACCATTATTGATTTGAGCCCATAATTAACTTAGACTTCATATGGAAAGCTGGCGAAAGCCCTTCATTGCTAAATCATGTTGGGCCGAACATCAAAGTATTTGCTATCGGAAGTAAGAGAACCTTATTGAGCTAAAAAAGGGGAGTGAAATGAAAAAGGTAATGAGGCCTGACCTTACTAATTCATTCATGTTACGAGTAGATGAATTCGACCAAGTGAAAGTTTAATTCACAAACAGAGGTTTCATTTAGATATATAAAATTTTCAAGAAAATTGTCTTGTGATGAAAAATAGAGATTAAGGTATCATGCGTAACAAACACAGCATATTAAGTCCTAATTCCTACTTGTATGTGGTTGAAACTCTAAATACGTTGGTTGGTTGTTGAATTAGTTAATGTTAAAGGTACTGCTAAATCGAACTAAACTTGAACCTTGATGTATTAATGCTCGGCTTATCAAGGTGGATTGGATAGGATTATTGCCTTTATCCTTGGTGAACCTTTTGTTTGATACACAGGATTATGCCCACATGACTGTAGAAAGCTCGGAAGTAGTCAATCAAGAATCCGATTATTTTTTATCCAACCTGGAGGGTGTGATCAACATTATTCGTTTGGGATCCAAATTCAATTCATCACAAAGTAATTGAACATTGGCTCGAAATTGTCCTTTACGCTGCTGCTGCTGCTGCTGCTGCAGCAGCAGCAGAACATGGATGGGAAACTTAGTAACATGGCAATGCCGTCCTTGTGCAGAGAGAGCATGGCTTCTGTTGGTACTCAATTCTGTTGGTGGAATATGTGGCCTCGAGCCTCGTGGAGAAGGATTTTTGTTTAGGAAGGTAACATCGCTTGTGAAAGGAGTGAAAAGGAGTGGAGGTAGGGTAGCTCGTGAATTTCGGATTTTGCTTTCTAGGGACTTGAGGGAGATGTTTATGGGTTGGGACCGTTGGGGGCTGGAAATTAGAGGTGTTTGGGGTAGGGTTTTGATAATTGTGTGTGTGTGTGTGTGTGTTACGTGGGAATCTATTTTGCATTTTGTTCTCACATTTAATAAATCATTTTAAAACTTGATCAATTTGCAATCTTGCCAAATTATGTGCGATAAACGGTTATATATGGAGAAGGATTGATCCACCACCATACTATGAGAAAACACACTTATAATATAAAATGTTAAAATTGTGATGAAATGAGAAAGAAAGCTAGTGAGAGAAATAAGAATAATTTTAGACCATGTATCATTGATCATGATCAAGCCAAATTTAATGATTGACAGTCAAATATGGGTGGCATTATTGTAAATAAGATGTAATTACATGGTCGAATATGTGTATTTGACCACTAATTAAGAGTACATAGGCATTGTACATAATGTCAACTCATCTAGTGGGATCCACCTCAAACCTAACCTTAATATATCTATATCCTACACATACACACACAATTCACACACTAAGCCCACGCACGCGTGCGTACACACACACAAAGGGGATCCACAGTTCGCCTACAGTTCACACACACAAAGGGGATCCACCGCCTGCCTACAGTCGCCGACCCCCGTCTGTTGCCGCCGACCTCCGTTTGTCGACACAACCACGCAACTCCCATCGCCGCCGACACCCTACCTCAGCTGCTGTCGCCAACAGTCACGGTCTGCTGCCACGATTTGAGTCGCCGAGCCTCCATAGCCCGTCATCGAGATGGCTGTGACACAGAATGCCCCGGTAGAACCCAGCCCCTTCCTCCACGCCGTCGTCGCCAACAAGCCCAATCAGTCCGCCGACTAAGATATACAACTTGTATATGTGTGTGTGTGTGTGTTTGGGTGCTGGGATCGGTAGGGACAGGACGTCGATTGACGGACGATGGCTGGTGCGGAAGAATGACGGAGGAGAATCGACGACAACGACCGNTAAAGGCGATTACGGGACCGACCGGAGTGAACTCCGGCGAATGTGGATTGCGTTTGTTCATCTTTTGAATTGTGGGGTTTTTTGTGAGAATTTGATATATTTTAGGGACTTTATTGCAATTTATAAAATTTTAATATTTTCAATTTAGCTATTGGCTGTATCTTTTAGGTTTTGGCTGGTTTTTGCACTTTTGTGCGTGTTATAAAATCTCTACCGTTCCAAAAAAAAGTATATATTACGTCGTCAATCTGTAATATAATAAAAGTTTAATACATGCACAACAATACTACATAAATTGCACATTACAGTGTGAGAAATTGCACATTAAAAATAGCACCATATATTCAAGAACTCATTAATATGTCGATGCCGATACATATAAAAGTTCACAAATTTTTCAAAATGCCACTTCGTTTAGGTTATTCATCGATTGGTCATGTCTAACTGACCAATTAAAATGTCAAAATTGATCTAATCGTGTCGAAATTCGAACAAACGAACTTACTGAGCTCTTGTCCCAATACAAACTAAAACTGAACCGACATAAAGATTAACCAGAATAACCAAAATAAATTATTATTTGTATTATAAAAAATCATTTAGTATTTTAATATTTTTCTAGTAATACTTTATATTATATATGTTTGATTAAAAAAATAATACATATGTAAACAAAATATAATGCGTAATGTGATAGTTATCAATGTGCAATTCACATAACACTATGGTGCACAGTGTCGGTCGGTATTGTGCAGAGTGAACCGACCGGACTTTCACAAAACGAATGAAGATGAACATAATTACTTGGTTTATTTAGTCTAAGAAAATTATCCTAAATAATTGAAATAGTTTGTTTTCTATATTAAAATTATATTTAGTATGTTAATAATTTAATTTATTACTTTTATATTATTTTTGGTTAAAAGAATATAATATACGAAATAGCAAAAACGATTAAGTGCAAGCATACAAACACAACTGAGCATCTAGTATAACATTATTGTGCAGTATATTGGGTGGGTATTTTTTTACGTGCATTTTAATTTTAAAATTTTTTAATAATGTGTATTTTAATTAGTTTTATTGTACATTTATCAGATTATTTATATAATTAAAAATATATTTGGTATTTATAATTTTTTATGTAACATTTTATATTATTGTTCGTGGAAAATAAATAATATATTTATGTATAGTAAAAATTAAATAATTTTTTTATATAGTCGGTTGGTTCCAATGTTTATTTATTTATTTATTTTATAAATAAATTCAAAATAGAATGAAATATTCAAGACTTTAATATTTTTTAAAATGGACACTATTATGCTGATGTTCAATCTCGACCGAATTGATGTGCATTTGATTTAACACTGTTGTGCAGTTCGATAGTCACTAATGTGTATTTCGTTTAAAACTAGTGTACAATCCTCAGTATGGATTTTTTCATGTGCAAATGTAAACTAACAATGAACCTATATAATTGAATGTATCTAAATAATCAAAACAATTTATTATTTATATTTTAAAAAATTATTTATTATTCAATATTTTTTATTCTATATTATTTTTATGTTATTTTTGTTTTTATTTATCATTTTAATATATGTCTGTAAAAAACAAATAAAAATATTTTATAATTAATTTTATATAAATTTCATATTTGACCCATCGATTGAATTGAAATCTAATAAAATTCTAAAAATTGCATTTAAGTACTCACTACTTATCAAATTTCTTTTCTTCTCCTTGCTGGAAAACACTATCCCACTATCTCTGCGTCGCCTCTTTCCATCTCCGCCGTCCGCCTCCCCCACGCCTTCTGTCGTCTCAGTCATCTCCCCAAACATCTCCGTGATGTACGAGCTCCATTTAGCGTCTCCATGGCCGGCTTCATCCTCAACAACCTCATCACCCATCTCGATTCCGGCGAGGATACGGGGGTCGACGGAGACGGCTGACGACGAAGTCAACCGACGAGGCGACGTGGTAGTCTTCTCCGGCAGGTGTTCACTAGGACGAACTCCATGTGTGCAGTCCTGCGGTTGCCAGAAACCGTCAATGGAGAGCGGTGGCTGGCGGCTCTGTGGGTAAGAGCCGGGATGGAGGTTTGCCGAAGCCGGCATGAAGGTTGGGCAGTTCTGCCGATTACTGTGTGTATGTATGTGTGTGTGTATGTACGTGTGTGATATTGTGTGTGATGTGTGTGTATATGTGTGTGACGTGTGTGTGCGTGTGTTGGGTGTGTGTGTGCGCGCGTGTAGGGTGTGTCTGTTGTGTGTAAAGGTGGTGACATGGCGTTTGTTTGTGTGTGTGGGTGTGTATGATTAAGAGAGGGAATGAGAGAGATGAAATGTGTTAGGTGTGCCCCATGAGTGATTGTGTGTGCGCACACGCGTGTGTGCGCCTGGTGTATGTGTGTGTGTGTGTGTGCTCGTTCGTGCGTCTGATATGTGTGTGTTTGTGTGTTTTGTATGTGTGGGTGGTGATGTGGCAAGTCTGTGTATGAGAGAGAGAGAGAATGAGAGAAATATGTGATGTATCCGGTGGGGCCCACGTGTGAATGGGTGTGTGGTGGCGTTGATCTTATTGGTTGGGTGTTGAAATATACCACATTACAGTTAATGAAAGTATAATTCTGACTTGCATTCTTATTTTTTTCATTGAGATATTATTCTCACTTGAACTCAACCATAAATATTTATATTTATATTTATATCGTGCAATATGACATGAAGTATGAAACTATATTTATTTGTTGAAATATTATAACTGCTTAACCATTGGACAACCTAATACAAAACATAGTGAATAGATCTCATTCACCGTACTCTTTTAACCTAATATGTTTGATTTTCATGTTATATTTAAATAACAAATAAATATATAGTATCTTATGTGTATCATAATTTGAAACAATAAACAAATAAATAGGATCTATTTAAGAGTGTAATTTGTTCGAAAGATTAAAACTAAAAAATATTAAAATACAAATTTAATTATGGTTCATTTTTTTTTCTAATACCTAAAAATATTTGGACAACACAAGATTGAATGGGTTTTACTTCCAATGTATTTTGAGCAAAATTAAATGACATGATGAAAATAGTTGGTGATTCCCACGACCCGAGTCAAGAATGAATCGGCTCGATATGAGCTCCGATATTCCTGAGCCATTGAAGATGACCTACAAAAGGGCCTGGAGGGTCTCTTGGTGTCAGTACTTCGACACCTAAGTTAATATCAAGGAAGAAGATGATAAGTGCTATGTAAGAAAAGATCTAGATGTAAAGTACAGAGAATGTAAAGTATGTTTTGGATGTACCTCAACCTCTTTTTAGGGGATACCTGCCCAAAATAGCCTGCTCGAATTACCTCAACTGCCCGCAGTCAGTCTTCCCGACTGTTCGGATTTGATCTTATGTGCTTGGTGCTTATCCTCATTCTAATCATATTCTAGTCATTATTTGATTTCTTCTTTATCTCCATAAAATTCCTTTCTCACCCTTGTAAATCTGTGTGCAATGATCCTCAGGTCGTCATGAACGTTTTCACAGGTCGTCTAGTCCATCTGGCCTTATATGTTGTCTGAGTGCTTGCGCTTATTCCAAGTCGTCCGCTTATATGTTATAACTTTAACAAATTCTCAGTTGAAATAAATTATAATTATTGAGTTATAAATTAATTCATTAGTAGTAAGCATGATTAATAATATAAATAAATGTTTCCACAATTTTTGTGAGATATGTTATGCTATATGTATTGGTATTGAGCCATGTGTCAGGGCCTATTAAATAAACATGGATCTATCCATGATTCTAACAAAAAATTTTGTTAGAATTTTCATTGGAAATTTGAAACGGGAATAATAATGTTGAAATATATGTCAAAATTGTCCTTGAAATTCTTTGTAATATATTTCTGTTGAAAATTTCGTTTGAATTTCATCATTTTTTTTTTTATTGTGAAAGTAGGGCTCCAAATCATTAAAAAAATTCGCATTGTATATAATATTGTATGCAACTAATTATTATAAAAATATTGATAATGATAGAAAATATAACACATTCAATGAAATTATCATTTAATTTATGATAATTAGTATTCTTTTTAAACAAACAAGATATATCTAGGTCGAAAAGATCTTAATTATTTTATTAGTATTATAATAGCTAAACAATGGGTAAGAATGATGTCTTACGTAATATACATGTAAACTACACAATGAGAAATCTTTTAGCATGCATTCCATCCAAAAGTAAAAAAAAAAAAAGATAAAAATATTTATTTTCCAGGGCTGGCTAATGAGAAATATAAAACATACTTAAGATGTACGTTTATTTTAACTAGAACATTTGAGTACATTAAAATTATAATTTTTTACATTAAAAATCGGTATATTACTCTTAATTTTTTTCGTTAAAAATTTAATTGTTTTCTAACATTAATTTTTTCAATTTTGAAATACTTAATATATTTTTTTGTTTATTACCGTTTTTATATGTAAATAATTGCATCATTTCTTTCCAATGATGTTTGATTTGACAATGTATTATAATAAAATAAAAATAATATATGTATATATATATATATCAATACTAATTTAAAATAATTAATGTACCTAAATGTATCTTATAAAATAAACTAAAAATCCATGTTAAATAAATTTTATTAGGTATAAAATAACATCGATTAAACTTATGGTATATTTTTCTTACATATATTTGAAATATCATACCAAGAAAAAATTAAGAAATTGATGCAAACTATTATTTAATTACTTTTTGAAAGGGAACACCATAATGGTAGTAACATATTTTTGAATGAATGTGAAAAAATGAGTTGGTTACTTAATATTTTGTCAAACATTGGAAATATAATCGTAAACTTTTTAATCTTATTTCAATATGTGAAAATGAGTTAGTTACTTAATGTTTGTCCCATTTTTGTTGCATTTTTCTTTATTGTTTTGCTTCTTTTTTTCCTCCGTTTTAAGTCATTTCTTTCGTTCTTAGGGCGTTTTGTGTTTTATTGCGTGTTTTCCTTTAGTTCGAGTCTTTTATGCGTTTTTCGGTTATTTCTCGGTTTTTCGCGTTTTTCTTGTCGTTGGTGTGTAGATCCGGTGCCTCGTGAGGAATAGGCATGGCTCGAAAACTAACCGGGTGATCATGGTCGCGAAGAATGATTCGTTAGCAACACACAGGAGAAAACGGAATCGAATTCCGAGCCCAGACGAGGTCGTACGAACCCGAAAAGTGAAGTAGTGCATGCAGTCCAAACCCCAGTTCCAGCGCCACGAGCCCTTCACGCCGCGCCACATGCCACGACCACCCTTCAGAGGGTTGTTCCAGGTCGCCAGGCCATGCCAACTACCGCGCCTCGGAGCTGCTGTCCACCACGCCGCGAAGACCCCACCGCGTCGGGAGGCCTGCTCTCCACCGCGACGCGACAATACCACGTGGCTTCCTATCCGCCGCGCCAGCACACTCCACCGCGCCTTGCCAAGACCCTCGCGCCGCGGCCGGGCCCTTTTCCAGGCCGCGATGAGGCTGCCACGCCGTGCCAAGCCTCTTCTTCACGCCGTGTCGGGATGTTCACGCCGTGTCCCTGCCTTGTACACTTCAAAAGTCGAGAATAAAAGCTCGGGAGAAGAGATTTTTGACCAGTTTTTACGACAAGACACAAAAACATCACTCCACTCAAGACACTTGGTCGGTTTTCTCTTGAAGACCATGCTCAGACTCTCGATTCTCACTCTCTTCTCTTCCCCTTTTCTTTTCTTTTTCCTTCTTCTTCTCCGGCTCTGCAACTCCTTCTCCTTCTTTTCTTTTTCTTCTTCTACTCTTATTTTCTCCTCTACACTCTCTTCTTCACTGTTTTCTTAGTCTTCATTTTGTGTTTGGCTTGGACTTTGTAAGGTTAGAAGAAAGACTTCTTGTTCTTCTTAGCTTATGGATTTGGTGTGATCTTGTACTTGACATTTGAATCTCATATTAAGTTTTCTTTTTCATTTGGCTATGATGATGATGGCTTGGTTTAATATGAATACTTGTGTTGATATTGCTATGAGTGGCTAAACCATTAGCTAGGGGAAGGGGATAATTGATCCGGTCCGTTCTCGTTTATGTGTATTTCGATTGCTCAATCTTGTGCGAGTTTAATTGATTAGGAATTTATGGATTTGTGCTCAATTGATTGAAATAACCTAAGGATGACACTTCGCTCTTGCGATTGGAAACGATTGGATGTTGATTTGTTGAGTTAGGATTTGTTGATTCTACATAATTATTTGATTAAATTTCTTCTAATTTATTTAGCGACTATCAGATCCAATAGGGGAGAAGTCATAGAACTAGGCTCGTACGAGGTAGACATGTTCGGAGACGTAATGTCTATGTGTTAATTGCTTCGTTGATTCGCTCGTTTATGTTTATTCGCATGTTACGAAAAATTATTGAGGATGAACCACTAAATGAGTTGAATTGTCGAGCCTTTTAACCGAGTGTCGATTGCCGGTTAAATGTGTTTAGTACCGGAAGCGATTATCCCCGATACCCTAGCCGTTTACTTCTATTTATATTGCGTTTGTGAGTTGTGACATTTTAGATAGCTTTATTTGCGTATTATTAGTTGTTAATCAAAACCGACAAAATTGAATCAGAATGTTTAGGTTTATTTCTCTTTCGTGATTGAATAAACGTATGACTTAATCCGGCTACCCTTCCTTGAGAACACGAGCCGGTGTCCGAATCTTTCGATTCTACTCCGGTAAAATATATCTACAACACTTAATATTTTATCAAATATTGAAAAAAAATCGTAAACTTTATAATCTTATAAATAGTATAAAAGTACACTTTTACCAAATATATTATTATTATAAATAAATAGATAAGTAATATTAAGTATTACTTTATCTTATGTGATTATTTTAGTTGTAGCTTAATAAATAAGATATTTTGATAACAACATCGTTATACAAAACATGTATAAAAAATAACACAATACATATAAATGTGTTCTATTTTTTTACACAACATAATTTGTAAATAGAATAAGAAAAACATAAAACAATAGTAATGCAATGGGAAAAAGAAAATATCTGAATTTTCTTAAAGAAGTATGAATACCAATATTTAGAAACAAAAGTCCTTCGAAATTACTACACTTTTTTTTGCTGGCGTTTAAATTCTCATAAATAATGATTATATATTATCAATTTTGAATTTTGAAATTATTAAAAAATTAAAGTTTTTGTACTACATGATGTTGATTTTAATAACTGCTTGTAATAATAAAGTTCATATATGACTAAGAGTATCATAATATAATAAAATTTTAATTCTTCCCGACTCAAATATTTTAACAAATGATATGTTTCTCAGTGTTATTCACTATTTTGTTTTGTTTTGTCATCGTTGAAGAATCAATGAAAGATCTTTATCTTGAATTTTTGAAGTATTATGTAAGATGCAAAATGTTGGATAATAAAAGCATTAAATAAAGTATTAGGCACATAATTATTGCAAATCTGAACGAATGTCAAAGATATTACGATAAATAACTATGAAATCATTGCAACAACCAAGCTGATCAATGATTTGCAGATTATATAGTTTGTCCATCTTTTAAATAAATAACATTGAAAGACAAATGTCGAATCCTAATCAAAACATTTGTGAATATTTGAATGAAATTGTCACTTTTTGAATTTACAATTTTATTAGTGTATTGTTCTCTTACATAATGGAATGTGTGGTGATTAAAAAAAAAAAGAAATAGCGACTCGGGTGAAGTACATGTAATCAAGATTTTGAAAAGTCAACTTTTTATTTGGAGATGAAATTCATTCTCACCCCGTAGGGCATTGCCTCCATGGGGTACATATCAATTTGTGTATATGGAGAGAGAGAGAGAGAGAGAGAGAGAGAGAGAGTAATGTAGTAGTTTATACAATAATAAAAAAATATCAGCAATTTTAATGGCACGGTTGGTTATTCACAAAGATATTCATGAACTCATTATAAAGACATACAATCATGAAGTTTGACTATATGTTTGATCAAAATATTTCTAATAAAGTATATTTGTTTGAGATTTTGAGTGACATTTTAAGACTTTTTGATATTGAAACTTTTTATGAATTTCACTTTTTGGAGGAATTCTGCGAAATCTTAAATTTGGAGGAGGAATTCGAAGTGAGATTTCGTATAAACCGTGTGCGTGGACTGGAGCAGAGTGTGACCCTTCTTCCACTCTATTTGCCAATGGGGGGATCCGATGGTCAATTACATAGAACGACGTGAAGGAACCTAAATAATACATAAATAGTAACTAAAAAATAATTCGTATTCGCGCTAAAAAATATACTAGATATAGTAACTTTCCTTTTGAAATTTTTCATTTGCCGGTTTAAGTGGATCCTTTGATTTTTTTAAAAAATTTTCATTTCATGTGCCGGTTTAATTTTCCTATTTAAGTGGATGTTTTGATTTGAAAATTTTTTAGTTAATTTGATTGCTAAACTTGATACTCATCTTCCCGATTTTCATGAGGCCGATTTTGTGGACACTCCACATGATAGACAATAAGATTTTTTTAAATTTCTTTTGAAATTTTTCATTTGCCAGTTTAAGTGGTTCCTTTTATTTTTTTAAAAAATTTTCATTTCATGTGGCGTGTTAAAATACATAAAGTAATGATTGAGTGTACCTAAAATTCTCATGAAAGTGGATGCTTTGATTTGCCGGTTCAAATTTTCCTATTTAAGTGGATGCTTTGATTTGCATTTTTTTCCTAAAATGAAAAAATTTCTTTTTGTTTTGGTTGTTTATGAGATAGATTTATATTCCTTGTCTAATGGAATGTGAAAATATGGATATTTACTTCTTATCAAAATGTTTGAATCATCCATTATTTAATATGATATTTATTAAATAACATACCCTTTTAAGTTTTATTGAATTTTATTCAAATTCATATATTTATTAAATACAGTACTTTTTTAAGTAAAAAAAATTACGTGCATAACTTTTTTTAATTCAAATTAAATTTAACATCACGATTTCATTTTAATTATTCATAAATAACGATGTGGTCGGGCGACTAAATCATATATATTTATTTCATCACATTTGTATAAAAATCTAATTTCATTCTGTTATATAATAAAATATTGTGATATATGAAATGAGTGTGCTATTTATTTTATTTTATGTAGGTAACGTGACTCAAGAATAACATAGAACAATTGAGTTGTTTTTTGACATGTTTTTCAAGAATAATTTAGAAAAATTTTGGTGAATCTTCACACATAATATAGAACATTTTAGGTACTTTTAGACATGATATATAACATTTTAGGTACTTTTAGTGCTTTAGATAGGCATGTTTTATATGTTTTTAGTCAAAATAATTTCAATTAGCTTCAATTAATTAATAATGGTTAGCATTTGTTAATTTCCAATAAATTCATAATGTACTTTAAACCATAGTCTTCAAACCTGGCCCGGGAATCGACCTGGACAGGTCTTCGGGTCACCGGGTCAATTGCTGAACCGGATAATTAATATTAAAAATTTTAATATTATATATAGAGTATTTTGTCATATAAATATACATAAAAATAACAAAATTAAATATTTTGTATATAAAATTTGTACATTAAAATGTTAATAATATGTATCTCATGATAAATATTTACTAATATAAATATATATACATAGTTTTATTTTTAAATAACAAAAAATATTTTAAAAAATAGAAAAAAATGAAAAATTATATATAGGAGCCGGGTCAACCGGGTTGACTCTACCGGGTCAATGCCCCGAGTCGACAGGATCAAGGCTGGGTTAGCCGAGTTTTGATCGGGTCCTTTGTTGCCCGGTCTAAATAGCCCACCCGGACCAGTTCCAGCTCCGGGTCGATCGGGTCCCGGGTCAACTCGCTGGGCCGGTCTAGGTTGAAAAACTATGCTTTAAACCGTATTACATGTTAATCCAATATTTTTAATTTATAAGTATTATTTAATACTATTTACCCGTGCATAGCACGAGAACCGTACTAGTTGAGCATAACAGCAAATTTTAAAAAGTCTTAAAAGATTATAGTTGCAAATAAATTAAATAATCAGGATTTTGTAATACTTTTTAAAATCTCAAATAAATACCCAAAACTTTAAAAAGTCTAAATTAAATACATCAAGATTTTTAAAGTATTAAAAAGTCTTTAGAAATCCCAAGTGAATAAGCCTCTCAAATGTTTGAATAAAATAGACGTTTTGCCAAATTAATCAAAAAGAATTTTTCAATAGTATTGATGTATTGAGCTCCAACGAGTATGAATGTAAAATAGATATTTTGTTAATTGAATTAAGAAGAATTTTGTAATAGTAGATGTATCGAGCTGCAACGTGTATGAATTTTTTTTATTAGAACGTCGAAATTAAAATGAAAGAAAATCAGACTAGAATTATCTAATATAATAAATAATAAAACTAATGCATCTATAATTTATAACATACATTAGGTTCTTAATTAAAGACTGATTTTTCATATATTTTTGTTAGAATTGTAATATGTTATTTTTTAAAATAAAAAAATTTATTATGAGTTTATTTGACTTACATTTAAATTCGTTCCTAAAATAATATTTTTAATAAAATAATTAATATATTTTACTAAATTTAATCAATAAAAACATTAAGCTATCACACGTGCTATTTAGTAGAATAACGCACAATTAAGCTAATCTCCGCGAAACCCTCATTCCATTTACGCAGTGTGAAACCCCTATTTCATCTCAAACGTCACCCCCACTGAAACAACAAAACCCTCTTTCCATTTACGCCGCGAAACCCCAATATCCCCTCAAACTTCACCTCCACTGGAACAACAAAGAGAAAGGCAGGAATGAAAATGTACAAATCAAGATTGCAGGAACTCTGCCAGAGATGGAGCTGGGAGTTGCCGGAATATAAAACTGCCAGAGATGGTCCCGCTCACATGCCTAGCTTCACCGCCGCTGTAACTGTACACGGCCAGGTATTTGAGACTCCATTGCAATGCAAGTCTACTAAAGAGGCACAGAACACCGCTGCTCGGGTCGCGTTTGAGTACTTCACCACTCTTCCGCGGCCTCCGCTGCAAGCTCACCATGCGCCTGATGCTTCGCTGCCTGAATTGCAGCCGGTTGCTGCAGTTCCTCAGTCACTTCCTCTTTCTTCACTTTCTTCGCCTCGTCCAATCCCTCCTCCTGGTAATTTATATGTTCTTTCATTTTGAAATTTTTCGATTATGTATTTTGGCATGGTTCTTTGGTGGCTGCTATTGAGATATTTGAAATTTGATTCTTTTTTTTTAAGATAGTTTTTGAAGTTTCTTTTCTGCTATCTATTGTCAATTTGGGGAAACTTTTGGGAAAAAGGCTGGATATAGCTGTAAATGTAGAGTTATTTTGTTCTATCTCAAGCACTGAGGAGTAATCTGCTAGATATTGGAAAATTTTGATTTTTTAAGTGAAAATCAAGTCTTATGCTGTAAATTTTTTGTTGACATCTCCTCAATAATGTATGTTACACTGATTTGCTAGTCACAAGATCATACCACTCGTTTGACCATGATTTCTTTAATTTGGTGCCATGTTTAGGAGCTGTCCTGGCAGTAACATAGCATCCCTGCTTTAAGGTCTGGAGAAGACAAGTTTGAAATTGGAAAGTAACCGATATAAAGATGAAATTAGTCAAGAGATAAATACTGACGATTACGATGATGCTAGGGTGTTGAGATGCTAATGATATTTATTTGTGCACGTCTTTTGGTGCCGAAGAATGCTAATTCAAAATTTGCAAATGGGGGTATACTACAGCAAATCTGTAATGAACACTTTCCATGGTTTATAGGGTAGCAGTAGGTTCCACTAATAATCATTATAAAGATGAAATGAAGGGTTTTAGTTGTGTTTTAGTGTTAATATCTTGTTATCTAAACAAACAATTTGCATAATCACGCAGTTTCATAATTCAAATGAGAATGCTCCAATCTTTACTCAGTAAATGATGTTTTTGAATTTGGTGATTGTGAAACATTGTACATATGTAGGCCTTTTTTGTCCCTACTAACAGAAAGATGTCTCCCAATTCAGTTTATTGTGTTATTGTTGCACTAGTTTCATTGGCATTTAAATGAGTGTCTGTGTGCTCTCCACTGGAATTACTTCTGTTGTTATTCTTCAATGATGAGGCTGATAACTAAACTTGGAATATTATACATAAATTAATTACCTTATTCAGACCTTCACAAAGATACTGAAAATTTGTCTGTATTGGTTAAAAAATGTAATCTTGGAAATGATAATATGCCAGTTATGCTGATATTACTAGCAAAGGAGAGATAATACACGCATATGGTGAACAAAACAACCTGATGCAAACCTTCCGAAACATAATGAAAATATGTCTGTATTGGTTAAAGCGTAATCTTGGTCATGATAGTATATCAGTTTTGCTGACATTAGTACAAAATGATGGATGTTGCATGCAAATAAAAATAATATCTTCTGTGTGTTACTAAAAGCTGATGGTTCAATTTGACTGTTTGGGTTTGAACCTTGCTTTTCCTGAGACAGAGAAGACTCTAACTCAAAGCTGGGATACATACTCCCTCGTGATTCTTGTATTCAAATGGACCCAATATTATGAAATAAGTTAGTAAAGTTGATACAGACAACTTTATTAGCAGACACATATAATAGGTAGTTTTGATTGCAATAGGCCAATTCCAATATATGTTGACCACCTACAAGAGTTATTTAAGTATAAAACAGTGTTTCCTTATTCCTTAATCAATGCTGACCCTCATTTTATGACTTCTATAATGGGCACTTTAGACCTTAATCCTTTAGCACAATTTACCATTTCTTTAATATGTGAATTAATATGATGCACAAGATGCATTTTTGTAAACATAAGAGAAAAATAGTTGCTTCTTGGACACTATTTTCTTCATCATCCATTACTCTCTATATTCTTTCATAGGTACTAAAGTTGTGTACAAGAACCAACTGCAGCAATTTACTATGAAGAACAACCTTGGTCTCCCCATGTATAATACCGAGACTGAGGGCCCTCCCCATGCTCGCCGTTTCAAGTCAAGTGTCTCTGTTGGGGGAAAATCATTCGTAACAGTGGAATTTTTCTCCACACTGAAGGAAGCCGAACAAGAGGCTGCCAAAGTAGCTTGTCAGGAGTTATCTGTCGATGTGACTCAAAAGGCTAAGGTCCGAATTAACTCAATCATTTAACGTTATTTTGAGTAATTTTTTTACCTGGTTGATAATCTTATCTAAAGAATATTGAATCAGGATGGAGTTTCTTACAAAAATTTGCTGCAAGAACTTGCTCAGAAAAGGGGTTTTTTGTGCCCATCATACGAGACTGTCCAATCAGGATTTCCCCATTGTCCTCTATTTGCATCCACAGTCGAGGTGGGGGGTCGTACATTTCGAGGGGCTGACGCCAAAAACAAAAAGCAGGCAGAGTTGAATGCTGCTAGAGATGCTTATTTTGCTCTTACTGAGAGTAAGCAGTTAATAGTTTATAGCGGAGTGGATTTTGTTAATGATATATATTAATTCCGTTCCAAATTTTATTGCAAAAGTACCCTTGAGGTCTAGTCTAATTGGAAAGTCAACAAATATCTCCTTGTACTTGTTCATATTGGATATTTTACAAACCTCACCTTTCAATGGGCATTTGATAAAGAAGAAAACATGCAGACCTCAGAGTGCTGTTGAAGGGAGTATATGCAATTTATAAGATGTAATTTTATATTTTTTTATTTGTTGAATCTGGTGTAGTTCCCAGCTTAGCTTTTGTGGTTATCCATTTATTGTTTATGATTCAAGTGTGAATTTCAACAAACTTGCTTAAGAATGGAGTTTGACTGGAACAAGGAACACAACCAAAGTAAAAAAAGACATGGGCAACAGGATATGATTTGAATTATTAGTTAATCCCTTTAGTAAAAGGTAAGCTAACTTGTGCCTGTAATCTGCTTCTAAATCTGTAGGTGATACAGCAACAGGATACTCAAGCATGCCATCCATTAGTGTATGTGCTGATGCTGAAAGTTCCTCACAGAATATTGAGGACAGCACAACTACTAAAGGCTGCCAAGATGCAACAGCTGAAGGTAATTCTAAACTAGACACACTTTCTTAACTAATATTTTGCTCGAGTATTGTTGTTAAGATAAAGATTGATCTTGTGTAAGAGAAGAATTGTTAGATTTGATTTGATTGCCAGTCCATTTTCAAACCATTGACTTCTCCTTGAATAAGAGCTTTCAAAGAAATATAATTGAATACATTCTTGCATTCTCAGTTTATATCCAAGTCGTTAGGTGTATTTGGTCTTGTACAGTTGTACTTGTTACAACAGAGGTTCTTTATATTTTTTAAGTTAATTGAACCATTGCAGAATTGTGTAGACTGGGAATGTCTGTCAAGTAGTTCAGAGGAGCAAAAGTTTACCTTCTTTTATATGCAGATTTTTTTCTAAAAAGCAAAATCAGCTTTAAAGAATGAGATTTTTTAGAATCCTGTTTTTTTTTTCTCTTTTTCATGTTTTCTGTTTGCTTTATTTAAAGTTGTGTGCATCAAACTCTTATTAAGCATTATTATGGTTGATAATGTCAGTTACACAATTTATATGCTTATTATTTTTCCTGTGTGACATTAGAAAGCTCCATGCTTCTAGGTATTTGTAATTTTATAAATGATCTTCATCATCTTCTCCTTTATAATGTACTAAATTTGAGGTCTTCTAATTTTTGAAATTTAACCCTAGCCAATAGCGTATTTCTCTTTCGGATACTGTGAATCANAAGCTCATCATCTACAAGCAAAAAGAGCCAAATATACACATGGAGGCATGAATGCCAATGATGATACTAATGCTCCACCAGGTTCATCAGAAGGCAATTATCGATCAGATGATTCGACTTTGAATCCCAAGCCCGTTTGTGAGCAACCAGTTGAAGAAAGGCCCGGTCTCTGCTCGAACACTGTTGTTTATCCGTGCAAAGTGAACCTGCCAAAGCTCGAATCAGCTTCCGTATTGCCCTTTAGTGATGACTGATGGGTCGCGTATAAAGTTGAGCAAGACCATGAACGAACTCAACATATTTGCTTGTGAACATGCTCTCACTGATATATAAATCAGCATGCTATTTCTAGGATATTATGATTACTTTGGTCTTGTTTTGCATTTGGCGGTTAGCTGTTAGGTCTTAGCTGATTTATGTAGCTGTTTTCACCATGGAATTGTATTAACTGTTATGACAAGTTGACAAGCTGATTGTCTTGGCGGTTTTTATTGATGTTGAACTAATAATTATTTAGAAAATGCAAATTATTTATATTTTAAATGTATAGTAAAGTAATTTAAATATAATAATAAAATAAACGATAATGAATTGATTAAAATTTCTTAATCAAGTAAATAAGTCATGACATTTGAACAAAGCAAATAATCACTAATTAAAAAAAAAAAAGTAAAAGTGTGAGCCAAATAATATGTCGTCACTAGTTGAAAAGTAAATGTGAGTGGTGCGATATTTGTAATTACAACTGAAAGACAAAAAAAAATAGAAGAAAAAATAAATGTTCGACACACGATCTCTAGATACCATAAAACTTGAAGTTATATTATTATGAACGTTTGAGAATCATCATTTCCATCACTTTGTGCTGAACTAATTTAGGAGGTATAAATTCAGGATTTGCACCAACAACTCTAAAGCCCTGGTCACCAATGTGTTTCTGCTAATATAATCGTGAAGTGCAAAACATGAACAAATGATTTTATTTTGATCCATTAATGAATATATGGGCATTTTATGCAGTATCTTCCATTGAGCACACCAAAAGCCCTTTCAACGCAACTTCTTAAAGATGAATGTGACCAAATAAAAACTTCATGAGATCCTCTTGGATTTTAAGTACGAAACTCTAACCGATGATACATTTTCTTGGAGTAAGGCGTTAAATAACCTTTCTCTTTCTGGATAACATTTGTCTACCAAGTAATATTTACGTAAATGCACACAAGTTTTATTATAACTAAGGTTATATATAAGGTTGTGTGTGTGTGTGTGTGAAAATGCATATAAATGAGAAGTTCAAGATACCTGCTGGCGGCTTGGGAAAATACGAGAATCGTGCGTTGATTTCCGCATCCTGTTAAAACATATGTGAACAACAAATCAAAGTCACACAGTACTAAAACATTTGTAGTTGGTATCTCTTTCTGTCATCTGTAACGAAATTGATCCCCCTCAGAAATAGTTATCGCAGTATGTGTACCATCAATAGCTCCAATACAATCTTAATATGACATAATAAAAGTTATATTATCATTATTTTCAATAGAAAAAAATGGCGTTGAAAAACTAACAAAATTGTTATCTTAAAATGTGAAATATATATGTCATAACTTGAAATATGTGTTGGAATATCCTTGAACTTGGGATCATTTCGTATAAATATATCTCTTCAAAATCTGTTTCATATCATCTAAACCTTATTTGAAATTTCTATTACGATTTCACCAAAATATTGAAAGCACTCTTGAATATCACTATTAGAAGCACTCTTACTAAGTACATATACAAATAATCCCACTTTCTCTAAAACTGACATCCTACTTGATAGTCTTAATCCTTATCTATTTTCTAAACCTAGATATAATTGACAAAATGTGTTCTAGTTCATTCTAAGGGCATCGTTAATACGGCGTTTTTCATGGCCGCTCAATAAAATCATTTATCTATCTTTCTCATATTAAAATAATGTCTTGCACGGTTCCTTATATAAATGATTCAAATAAACACCAATATGCACAACTTGTAGCACAAGTTATCACATCACAAAAATCATCTTCTTCTTTTCAGTACTCTAGGCATTGGAGATATATTTTTTTCGAAACGAAAGATTTATAAATAAATATATATTTACAATCCTGAAAACATCTAGTAACCGCCGACTACAGCAGTTATACAGCCGAATCCAAAGAGAGGACTACCCGACGAACCGACGGTAGCCTAGAATCGACTACACTAAAACACACCTACAAGACCAAAATACAATAATAATACTCCAAGTGGAGAATTCTAGCTCCCAAAAAGGATAATGTGTTAGAGTAGGGTACCCGGCGTTCCAATCTAATTGGACGTATTCTACTTGTAAATACAGTCTATTGGAATTATATTATGAATAAGGCATTTCTTTATCTTAAGAGAAAGCATTTATCTTATAATTGCACTTAAGATAAAATTCCTAGATCACTTATGGTTATAAGGTATGGTTGCGCATAGAGATGGTGATCATGGAACATACCTTGAAAGCCGTGANC